GCTCCCCAGCCAGCTCTGTGAGTAAAGACGGCATCAATCAATTCAGCCCTGCCATCAGTGTACATGAATGGAGCACCACGGTTGAGAGGAATGTGGTTGTATCTCCAGTCCCAGACTGCAGCATAAGTCATGCGGTACGCTGAAAAGGCCATGACTGTACCAATGACGGCACCTGCGAAGACATCGTACCAGTTGTGGAATTCGTCAATGGTGAGAGCTCCACCGATGAGACAGGCGCCGAGAATGGGAGCGTAGATGGCGATGAGCTTCCACATGGAGGGGTGGTAGTTGGAAAAGACCTTGAGCTTTGCGTTGAGGTACAGGTACAGATAGACGAAGCCAGCAAAGGCGGCAGTGGTATGACCACTGGGCATCGACTCGAGACTATCATCGATCTGATCAGGATCACCAGTGCAAATCTCGCGAGTGTAGTAAATCTTGAGGAAACCCTTCTCATTGTAACCCTGGTTGTTTGCGCGTGACAGATCCGGCTTGCACACGTCGAGAAAGTGAGGTCGCAGGCCACCGATGAGCCACTTGACAAAGACCTGGAAGACGGCGGCGCAGATGAGAGAGTAGAGAAGACCGATAACGGCGTTGTTGACGTCCCAGAATGATCGAATGCGGATCTGCATTACGAGAATGATGAAGATGGGGATGATGCTGGCGAGGAAGGCGGCGAGCCAAATGGGGATGATTTCATCGCGAAGAGGGTATCCGAATTCGGGAAAGACAATCTCGCCATCGGAAAAGGTAACGGGGAAGGATCTTGATGGAGCGGGCTTGGCTTCGTAGACCTGGGCAATTATGTTAGAGGAGATGGTTGATGGATGGAAGACAACTTACACCAAGGCCAATAGCACCCATACAGATCATGGTAACAATATCCAGCCAGGTGCACTTTAGCCACTGGCCGAATGTTGGTCGTCTGGACATCGGCAACGGATCGTGGACGCGCTTCTGGTGTCTGGTCGAGGGGCCGGCCGGGTGCGGCGATTTGGACCTGTTGAAGAAGCCCATTTTGGCGAAGCTGGTGATGTTGGTTGGATGGAGGCTGGTATGATGCCAACCGCGAATAGGCTGACTATGCAATCAACTTGAGATTAGAAGTTGTCTGTCGAGCTTATCCAGGCCAGGCTTGAGAATGGAAGCTGCTCTTGTATAAATTCACATTCGTAGATGATGATTTCACTTCTCGACTGATAACCTGACGTCACCATCGTCATAATCTCTCCTTCACAACGTCGAAACCGTCCCTTCTACAACACGCTACTCCCATGCCATCCACACTTGCTGTGCTTATTTCGGTAGCATCCCCCTTACGCGGCGACGTCATTGATCAAGCTCATTTCCAGGAAACGCTCGCCTTGGACGGCAGATTCATGCCGAGGGGGCTTTCCGCGCGGCAGTTTGGTGCCGAGTTGACCAATCACATCCCATAATTTGATATCTTAGCGGCACGGGGATCGCGGCTTGGCCTTGATCTGTGTGGCTTGTTTTTTTGACAAACAGATATCAGGTACACTGCAATATTTGGAGGAGAAATGTTAGGCTACTGTCGTGGAGATGAGTGAGGTCGTGGTTCTTTGTGGTGATGCAAGAGTGTTGTAGTCACGGTCCACGCTGACGTCGAGAGCTTTTGGTTACGTAAATCATAAATACGAAAAAGAAGGTGGAAAACGACGAGTGAAAAAGTCGATTCATCGATTTACTTTTTCAAAACAGGCTTAAACCAGAGTTTTTAACCTCAAAATAACCTTGATTTCTGGTTGCTGACGAGGTGCGGTTGGTGTGTGGCTCGATGATGTGGCTGGTGATCTTGCTCGATCATGATGTGACTGCTGGCACTGATGGATGACATGGCAGTTATGTTTGCATGATTGTTCAATTGCGAATCTCGCCGCGATATCAATGGCAATTATTCTGGCGAGTGCATGCTGTTGCGCGATGCTACACTTTCGTTGTTTTTACATCTGCACTTGTTTTCAGTTGAGATTGTGTAGGGTAGGTAGCTCGCAGTGTTGGGTGCATCCACAACATCACGAGCTGGTTTCATGTGTGTTTGCTTCACATTGTCTTGAATTCTACCAAAGAACCATAAGTTATGTTTTGATTCTCTCATTTATTACTCTGACCCCCCCCCTTTATAATCTAAAGTTTAAATCCATGACGTACACCTTCTCTCCACCCCTCTGAATGGATAAGCCTAGCTAATCGCAAAGAGGCGTTCTAACTGTCGCTAGCTTTTTGAGAAACTCCAGGTCTGCGAGAGTTAGGTATTTGAGATAATGCATCAAGTCATATTCTGACGCCGGGCTAGACAGAACAGCGACTTGCTGTACACCTAGGGCTCATTTGGTGGTGCTGGCATGTGAACACGATACCATCCAACTTCATTCCACCCAGGTAAGAAACCACGCAAAAAGACACTCCCTCTCCATTTTGATCAACATTTCCTACACTGTATGCGCATATGTGCCAAGTCTTCTAGAACACCATCCCATCGTAGAGCCAAGAAGTGATCAACCATGCAAGCTGTTTTACCAAGAGGGTCGTGCGTGGCCAAGCCGGGAGATTCGCCATGACAGTCTTGGCACATCCGGGAATTATGATGGCAGGGTTTATTGACCAAGATCCTTTTTGGGGGCCGAAAATGATGTAACTTGATAGAGAAAGGATGGCCTAAAGTAGATGTGTGTCCAATTTGTAATGCAGCTACTCAAGAAACTTTAAGTGTTAAGAAATGGGCCACCTCGTCTCGCACAACCTTTCCAATAAAGAGTGAATAAAAAGCTAAGCCCCCGATTTGCCCTGAATTTACAAAGGAAAGGCTCTTTAAATGATAGTAACACTCGTCAAATCACCCCCCTCCCACCATGAAGGAAAACCAACCTTGGGTTTAACCCTATCCCATCTGCTCCTTGGCCTATCTCTAGTATTCCAGACTTCATTCTCCGTCTTTGGATCCGCCTGAAACAGTAGCAACCCATGTCTCTGATACACCGTCTGTCCTTGAGACTCTGATTTCCTCAGCACGAGGGAGCAGAGAAGATCTTTGGCCTCCAGTAACCGTAGACAGTACAATGGCTCGTCATCTTGGGTGTGGCCATCTGAAGGAACCCATTCTGCGCAATCTTGGTATAAACATGGGGACGTGTTGACCACTATGTCTGCCTCGGCCACTGTAGTTTTTAACAAGGATACCACGAAGAACGATCTGAGAGTCTTGGCAAGATTCAGTCCAAGGTTGTATCCCTTCCCCGTGTTGGGGCCACTTCTCGACTTTGAAGTGAGCTTCGGGAGCTCTTGGTGTTTCTTTAGAATACCACATGATCTTGGTTTCCAGACAGGCCCAAGACCATGTTGGGGCGCGCCACTCGGGTACTCGCGCTTTTTTGTTGTTAAATGGGTCAGTTGCCCAGGAGAGATCGGTGGCGAAAGAATCTACCCAGAGACCAGCAAAATGCTGACTCTCGCGCATCGGTGCCATGTACTGTGCAATACCGTCGATAGCCATCAGTTTGTCACCCGGATGTGTCAACTTTAGGTGGGTATAAATCTCAACCACCTCGTACCATTTCGAGACGAGTGCCGAAGTGTCCAAGTGCGCTTCGACGGGCTGCAGTTTGGAGTTGTTTGGGAATCCGGAAACCTGGGCTTGGAAGCCACCTAGAATAGGCGAACACTGACAAATGTTGCGAGTGCGGCACTCCCACACAAGCTCTTGACTTGTAAAGTAGAGAGTTCGAGGCGAGAGGAGACGTTCTTGCATGACCCATGCACGGTTCATGAGTGGATAGTTAAAGAATCGATGGTTAAAGTTGAACCGAGCAAAGAGGCGATATTCTTGTCCAGACTCGGGGATGGTGCCAGTCATTTCGATCTTTGGTGAGTTGTAGAATAGACCGCCCTGACCGCTCGACGAAGAAGCGGCAGCGAGTGTGAGTAGCGAGTTCTCATAGATCTGACACATCTGAGAACCCTCCTTTATCCAACATTCAACATTATGCTGAATGATGCAGAGCGAATCGATCCAGATGTACTTGTACCCAAGTTTGCGGGTGATGGCAACGGCATCCTTGAAGGTCTTGGGGAGGACTGCAGCAGGGATCTCTTTTGTGTACTCTTCATAGGTCTCATCATTGAGTTGTGCCGTGATAGTCTCCGGAGGCCCCCAGCAGTGACTTAAGGCGAGGTATTTGGTCTGTGCTGGGTCCAAATCATGAGTTTGGACAACTCGGACAGATGCTTCTTGAACCTCCACTAGCCTGGTCGGGAGAAATCCGTCAGTTGCATTTTCGCAGAGTGAATGGTTGTCCAGACACTCCTTGAGGGCATCCAAAGCAAAGGCACATGACTCTTCCGAGTCTGTAGATGTTGGGATGTCGTCCAAGAGAGGAACTTTTTTCCAAGGGCTAGGCTGTTCTGTTGCGGGTTAGACGACAACCACGATGTAGAGACCAAGGGTATGGGATCAGTACCAGGTACCGCATGAATCAGAATATCATGCTCGATGATAAAGGGCTGCTTCTCGATTCTCAAACTCATTTCCCACTGCGTAGAATCGGCCGGATGAAGCATATCAGTCCGTTCCCGTCTCTCCATAGTCCAAAGTATGTACTTATGCTCTGGAGATGAAGCCTCAGGCAGTAGTTTCCGAACAGCCTGCTGAACCGCATCGCAACAGATGCATCCATTTTCAGCAGCTTTGTAGACTCGCTCGAGGGTACCTCGTGCGTCGTCGGCAGCAAAGTCGCGGCAGGACTTGCACGGCGACATGATGACCCAACGGCTGATACTTGGATGTGAAGATGGAAGATTGGGGATTCATTTCTGCCCAACGATGAGATTGGGTCAAAAAATTGACCCCAATCTTGGCGGCTGACCACCAAGTGTGGCACATCTTATTGGTGGTGCGCCATGACCTCTCAACACCATCACGACAAACGTCAACAACAACACCAAAAAGTCAAGATCGCGAGTTATTGCTCGCGTGGCATCTCTCCCGCCGGGAATTGAACCCGGGTCTCAAGCGTTTATTGTGTTTGACAAGCTTGCATACTGACCACTATACTACGGAAGATTGGTGGTTGTGATCAACCACTGTAGTGAGAGGATTCGATGGGGACGAGGTGGAGATATGCGGGTTATAACCCGACTCCGGTTAGAGGCGATGAGTGATTGTATATATATTCGTGGGCATCTAGATACTCGTGGAATCACGATATACACTTAAATATCCGAGTCTTCTCTTGTGTAAACCTTGCACCAGATCTCTCCACCCCCCGGTTGCCCCAACACCGCAAGCAATAAAGTCATCACAGTGTGTAGATGAAATCAGGACGTACATCACCACTAATAGCCTTCTGCTCATCATCTAGGGCATCCCATCTAGCATTGCGCTTACCGCTCCTGCGTGCGCTGTTCTCCCATCGCAGTGCAAAGTGCATAAAGATGGAGCCACCAAGCAGGAAGATGACCTGGTAGGCAAGCACCATGCCGTGGCCAGTCCAGTAGCGAGGCTTCTGAGCTTCGAGGTAGATGTTGGAAGAGACGACACCGTTGAGATTGCCCCAGCCGACAACCATTCCGAGAACGATGGCGCGCTTCAGGGAACCTTCGATGTTGTTGTTGACCCAAGACACGGTGTTGGAGACGGTCGGATAGATTCCTACAAGATATTAGCGAAATTGTGATATCGGAAGGTGTCAAACTTACCCATTGCTCCGAGGAACACAGCGCCGTATTGAACCTTGGGTTTGTGACTAGCTAGCAACATGATGAAGCCAATGATACCAACACACACAGTGGCAATGTTGCAGAAGCCTCGCCATCGGGTCCGATCCGCCGTGAATCCAACGACGATGGTGGCCAAAGCCGCACACGCATACGGAGGCACAGAAAGGAGCTGCGCACGCGTACCAACGTAGCCCATGCCGCGCAGGATGGTGGGAAGGAAGAGGGAGAAGGCATACAGAGGCATCAGACAGCCCATGTAAATGACCATGTACCCATACGTCTTCCAATCTTTGGCAGCAGCCCAGATATACCGCTTGTCAAAGTCTTCAGCAGTTCGACCCTGACGGTCCATGATAAGACGGCGTTGAACACGGATGCGATCTTCAGGCGACAAGAAACGGGCAGTATCAGGCCAATCAAAGACCATCCACCAGCAGAAAATGCCAATAAAGACAGTCGCCAGACCCTCGAGGATAAAGATCCATGCCCAACCAGACTTTCCACCGGTGCCGTCCATCTGAGCAATGGCAGCAGCTAGCAAACCACCAAATGATCCAGCGAGGGCAGCAGCTGAGAAAAAGATGGCCGATCGGGCACCAATCTCAGAGCTCTTATACCAACAGCCGAGATAATAGTTGACACCAGGGTACAAGCCAGCTTCGGCGACACCAAGGAAGAATCGCGCGGCCAAGAGACCGGGATAGTTATGGCATAGACCCATGAGGGTCATGACGATACCCCAGGCGATGATGATGCCTGTGAAGAAGATGCGCGGGGTCAGACGCTTGAGGAGACCGTTGGTGATGGGCTCAAAGAGGGCGTAGCTGATGAAGAAGATTGTGAGGGCCATGTTGTAGTCGCCCTGCACCATGCCGAGCTCTGCTTCCATGTTTTCGAGACGGGCATTTCCAATGTTGGTTCGGTCGAGGAAGGACAGGAGGTAGAGAAGAGAGAGCCAAGGGATGAGCCACAGGTCAACCTTCCACATCAGCTTCTTGTCCTGGTGATAGTCAGTAACATGTATCGAGATATAGATGTATAGAGAAAACTAACAATTTCTCGACGTTCTTCATCACTCTTCCCCGCGTCAGGATCGGGCAGGTTTGCCAGAAGCTGAGCACGCTCCGCCTCAATAGCAGACGTGGGAGGAACCTTGGAGACATTCTCAACATCCAGAGCCGTGGGCTTTTCCGGCTCCGACGGCGGCGTCCTAGTGCTATCAGTCGTCATATCGAAAAGCTGAAAAAGAAGAAGAATGATTGACAGCTAATCCCAAATTCTCTGGGGGGACAAACATCGCCATATATGAAGATCTCAAAGGCGGCCCGAATACCGTTTTTTGTCTCTACGTGTACCTCGGCGCGTTTTGTCCTCCCCTCTTCCCTGCAAGCCCTCACATGCGGGGGACAAGAAAGAGGTCAAAGCTGTTTTTGCTCCGTAGATCTGCGATTTCGCTCTAGGCGATTAAAGGAAGGTAATAAGGATCAACGTGGAGAAGAGAGGCCTTTCCCCGCGATAGAGTCTAATTGGACCGAACGAGGGGGTGAGGAATGTCGATCGTGGATGGTTTTCGGAGGAGGGCTGTGATGATGCACCAAGTGAGCAAGGATTGCGAGCAACAAGAAAGATTGTAACCCACCAACAAAAAAGGCTTATCAGCCTGAATTGCCTACCCCCCGGTAAATGTTATGCAAAGAGGGAGGAGGGCTGCAGAAAAAGCCAGCCACCGAAGGATCTGATCTCTTTCCCGTGCTACGTGGCTTCTTGTTAGATTCTCGTGTGTTTCTAAATACGGAAAAGAGATTAAAAACGCCAGCCTCAAACGCCATGTATTCCTTTATTATTCCGGGACGTGGCTTATGTTTTGTTGGTTGGTTGGGGGGAGACCATTTTTCTTCTTCCCGTGTGTCACATCGAGGCGTAAGCTTCATCCCTCTCTGCGTGTCGTGCCGTCACTTCCGAAACAAAAAACATTAGAGGGACATTTTGTCTCGGGCTTACGGGGCGCATATTTACGCTGATCACAATGTTGCAGCGCGCGGGAGACCCTACAAGTCCGAAGGAGGGTCATGTTGGTTGCTTACTGGGGCGTCTGATAGCCCCCGAAGACGGGCTTGGCGCAGCGATATTCCAGTTTTTACCTTCTTACCTTCTGTTTGTACTCCATCCAAGCATCATGTTAAGCTTAAGAAGTAGTCACTTCTGCTGAGTCTTGGCTTACCAAGACTGGATGCAAGCTCCACGTGGCAAAAGCTTGATTATGGTGTGTGGCCCTCTTGGGTATGATGGAGGTGGCTGTGTTTTCTCCAACAATTGTCGCCGCGCTGTTGCTCAACTAATGTGACGCTATTGTGAGTGACTGTCGGACAAAGTTGATCCTCGAGATATGCCCGTCAGATAATAATCCGCAGCCATCCTTTTTTGTACGATCCTGTTGGGCATTTTTTTTTTCAGCTCTCGAAAATCCCATTCTCCCTTACAGGAACTTTTGTACCACCATATTTTCACCGCCGAAACTTTCCAGATCAGCACAAGGCGGTTACGGCGGGCGGCAAGTAAGAAATAACCCCGGGAGCTTGGTTCGGGAAGATACATGTGCTCAAAATTTTTAAAGAGTTTATTCTCAGTTCTGTGTCACCACCACCAAATACAACTGACGTTCAATTAACCCTTGCATCCGCCAAGATCTCATTCTCTCTTGGCAATACAACGTCCGGCAGTTCCGTCTCCAATGAGGGGGAAACCGTCCTCTTGGCGTGGATGGTTCCGTCTTGGCTTTTTGGAAAAAATGGAACAAATCCATGGATTACGGGACGGTCGGTGCCTATACTGCGAGACCTAACCAGACAAGGAGAGGAGCCCCGATCAATGCTACCACGAGATATGAGATATTGGTTGCATTTTTATCTTTTTCTGGACAAACGGAGATCATCGCGTGACAGCTGTCAAACATTGATAGGTTCGGGCCTTTAATCTGGTGTCCAGGCGTCCGGATTCACGTTTTCTTGGCCCCGATGTGTATTACGCGTCTCTGGATGTCACATTGTCGCGTGGAATACCCTGCACGAGTCATGGCCATGGAGGCAGTGCAATGCCAGCGACTTGAAAGGATCTGGAGAATTGCCTTTATACTGGGTCACCTTGGTTGCCGGTGGTAGACGCACATCGCGCTGCTGACATCAAAACAGAGCCTGGACAATGCGTCCATGCAAGGATATCCACATCATCTGGGGTAGGGTAGATCTGGGGAAGGATCACGCGAATCTCAGTTCCGCTTATTGCCCCAGTACGCCCCGCGAATGTGGCGATGGGTGAAAATGAGATGCTGCTCAGATTCGTTTCGCCAGTTAGATAGAATTCTCTCGACAAGGAGATTACCTAATGGTAGGAAAGGGGAGATAAAAAAAAATTCGTAAAAACAAGAACAAGTAGTTGAAGAATTATTTGATCACTTCATCCATTTCTTATTTCTCATCTCTCGTCAGAATCCTGCTTTCGCCCGGGTCCCATCACTCAACGTTGCACAAAGTTCAATCAACAATATCATTCAAAGCCCCCACCCCCCCGCTCCATTTCCTACTCTCATGTCTCATACAGTCGTGTCCCATACAGCTCTCGAACACTTCCCTCGACGTGATCAACTGTCAACATGTTGTCACGGGAACCTAACGGACCCATAAGGTGGACCATCCAAGCAGGGTCCAGCGGCGTGCCCTCAGGCCCAAAGTCGTGCCAGGCTCGGACCGTCATTCTCTTGGGTGAGAAATTGACCGAGAAGTCGACAGGGCAGATGGCACAAGAGCCACCCACTTCGGTTCCCGGACGCTGTCGAGCAAGTTCGAAAGCGAAGCGCAGCGCGTTCCTAGGATTTGAAGGCCTGCTGCCACCCATTTTGAGATTTTGCCTTTCGTTGTCCCAGAAAAAACTTTCAACAAATGCCATTCTGAAATTGAGTTTTTGATGATCACATATTGACAACAACCCAATGGCCTGCTGAGATATCGGCTCGCTCCACTGCTTATACGTCCAGACTGATAACAGCATGTACCTTCCCTGTGTGATCTTGGGATATGCAGCGTATCCGCATCTCACAGCTCCCCTTTCTGTCGACCATGTTGAAAGGGTATCTCGATGAGACATGGTGAGCTGATCAAGCAACTTCCGATGCCTTTTATCGAGGTTTCCAAGACGCTCTAACTTCAGGGCAAGCTGGATATGCCGGTGCTGAAGCGATAGCTTGACGCTGGTACCGGCCAGGTGGCGCCTTTTTTGACCGTGTCGGGGGCAGGTCCGGTGCCTTGCCGGGTGGAGTTTGGAACAAAACTCGCAAACCCAAAGATCTGG